AGCAAGGCAGAGCAGTGCTGTTCTCATTTCACAATCGCGTGTTGCCTGAGGCCACAGTTACCTCAAGGTTCCACAGCGGCAGATCCACTTCCACCTTCACTCAGTGGTTGTTGGTGAGTTTAATTCCTCTGGGCTGTTAGACTGAGGGCCTCGGTTCCTTACTGGCTCTTGGCTAGAGATTGCCCATGTCTCTCTTTCTTTTTAAAAAAAAAATATTTTATTGATTTTTTACAGAGAGGAAGGGAGAGGGATAGAGATTTAGAAACATTGATGAGAGAGAAACATCGATCAGCTGCCTCCTGCACACCCCCTGCTGGGGATGTACCCGCAACCAAAGTACATGCCCTTGTCTGTTGTAAGTGAATTATGGAAGTGACATCCCATCACATTAGAATAAAATCACTATATCCTGCCTTCTTTACGAGGAGAGAATTACACAAAGGTGTGAATACCAGGGTGCGGGGTGAGGGGCTTTGGGAGCCATGTCAGAGCTGCCTACCCCATGGAATATGACTGTAATTTAATCACTCTAACTACTATATACTATCTTGTGCAACTATGTCACAGTTTATGCTCCTGTTAATGGGCACTATTTTCCCCCCACCCAGGCTTTTTGCTCTATGAACAGTGATGCTACAAGCATTCTCACACATCTGCAGGGACCATGCCCCTCTTCTCTGTATCATTCCCAATTTAATATGTATTATGCCAGAGTGAGCACTGTGATGACTTCCATTTGGAATTAATCCTGTCCCTTGCAAATTTCCATAGCACTTCCTCTCATGTGATACTTACCATCTATCACCTTTTATTACACTTATTTTGCACAGGTCGCCTTTTTCCCTTAAAAAAAAACTAAGTTGTTTAGGGCAGGAAATAGTTGATTCTTCTTCATAATTTACATAATACCTACACAGCACTTAGGATATTAGTAAGCTTTCAGTAACCATTACTGAGAGACTGAATTCTGTCTAAACATCAGTGCCTAATTTAAGGTCTTCATAATCTGACTCCAATGATGCAACTATTTTTCACTTCTCCCCAGTATGACCCATGGTTAGGCAAGTGGGTTACTCTAACATCCTCCTTCAATCTTTCCCCAATGAGTCTAGCCCGCATTGCTCTCTACGGTTCCTATTGAATTTACGATGTATAGCACACGTTCAGCATTTTAGAATGTATCCAGGCAGTGCATCAACTGTATTGACTTCTGGTAGGTGCACAATAAACTTTGTTAGTTGAATGGATGAAATATTTTATAATTACTTTTAAGCCAGTTAAGAATTTTCATCCCATCTATATTGTCAGTGGACTGACTGAATCAATCAATCAACAAATACCAATTTGTCTGAGTAGATTTTTATTACTCTTTTTTTTTGTCTCAGGTATTTTTGGAGTTAATGGATCTAGAAGAACCCCAAGACTCAGAGAGTTCAGGAAAATCAGAACCTTTCTCACAGCAAGAAGAAGAAGAAGTTGAAGAAGGAGAAGAAGAAGAGGAGGAGGAGGAGGAGGAAGAAGAAGGGGAGGAGGAGGAAGAAGAGGAGGAGGAGGAAAAGACAGGCCTTCTTAATCCTCTCTTACAACCTGTTCTCACAGGGGATGTAGAAGGTTTGCAGAAGATTTTTGAGGATCCAGAGAACCCTCTCTATGACCAGGCTATACAGCTCCTCTTGGAAAAAGACATTGTTGGAAGAAATTTGTTGTATGCAGCTTGCATGGCTGGGCAGAGTGAAGTGATTAGAGTTTTGGCAAAATATGGTGCGGATCTGAATGACAACACAGCCAGAGGTATTTTCCCTTTTCTCTCACCAGTATTACTTATGACTACCTAAAGGTGGATAAATAGGATGTGCCTGCTTTATATTTTGCATATATAATGTATACACACATAGATAAGAATGTACATGTGTGTATACGCGCTGATACGGTACAGCACAGTAGTTAAGAACACAGACTTCACTATTTGCTGTGTGACTTGGGCAAGTTACCCAATCATTTTGTGTCTCTCTTTTTTTCATCTGCAAAATGGGGCTAATATTGTATTTTCCTCATAGGGTGTAACAATCAAATAAGATAATTATAAATATCACAGTCCTTGGTACATAGTAAGTTGTAAACAGTAACTGCTCAATAATATTATTGCAATGACGATCTTGAAGAGTGTAGTCCGTTTGGCCTGACCGTCTTCATGCTGTTTGTCAGGTTATACACCCTTACACTGTGCTGCCGCCTGGGGTCGTCTGGAAACATTGAAAGTGCTTGTGGTGGAACTGGATGTTGATATAGAAGCTCTGAACTTCCGGCAAGAGCTAGCTCGAGACGTGGCTGCTCGGTATTCCCAGACCGAGTGCGTTGAATTCCTGGACTGGGCAGGTAAGGACACCCACAAGGTATCAGTAAGCTGACTGGTTCATTTGTATGTATGCTGTGCTTCCATCAAAGGTCAAAAAGCCATACTAATATTTTGTATATGTCATTTCCACAGCCCTGTAGAATATGGCTTAGAGATTTGCATGCATACAAACATCGGTTAAAAAATTAGTAAATATCAAGTTCATGGCATTCATTTTATGTAGTAATTTGCACTCATGCTTTTAGCAAGCATTTAATAAATGCTCACTGAGCATTGTTGTGGGTACAATTGGTTGTTCCTGCCCTGTGGACATTTGTTGGGGGTGGGTGATAAACGGTAGGTACATATCAGTAATAAGATCAGCGAGACTATGATGAAGGGTTAAAATCAGCAGAGCAGATCATCATACCTGCTTTGAAGTGGACAGAGGTCATGAAGTCAGAGCATGTTGGAGTTGAGCTGGGCCTTGAAGAATGGGTGGGATTTGAAAATACAATAGAAGGAAACGGGCATGAGCTAACTCTAAGAGCTGGGAGTGAAAGTGGCCTGTTTGAAGGACAGTGACAAGATTGCTTTACTGGAACGCAAGTCCTAGTTTGCACAGGTAAGCTGCAGAGTAATAAAAGCGTAAGTACATGGGCTCTTGCCTCAGATTGCTTGAGTTTACATAGTGGTATCTCCACTTGAAACCTATGTGACCTTGGACACCCCCCACCCTCCTCAAAAAAACAAACACAACAACACTCCACCCATTTTTGAAGAATGACCCACAGCACTTAAGAAACACAATCCAGGGACAGATTTTGCTGTTACTTTTCTGAAAAGAAACAGTTTGAGGCTTATGGGTACGGAGTTTTATTGTTTCCTGTCCCTAATATCCATCTGTTTTGTTTGGGTCCTTACATTCTCAGGGGAATGATACCTAACATTTCCTAGTGATGAAGATAAAAAAGGTGCTAATACTATCAACTCTTATTCTGTTTCCAGACCAGTGACAGAATTGTAAGGATTGTGGCTTCAAGTGCACGTAGCTCTGGAATGTCAGAGACACAAACTATTCAACATTTCATGTTTGTTTAATTCAGACTTCCAAGTGTATAAGCCACTTCCATTCCCTGTTCTAGCGATTAGAGTAGGAGGCATCTGGAGAGGTTTAAGGGGTTGAGGACTCCCTACCCCAGAGAGTCCTCTCCATACTGCTAAAATTCCACTGTTAGAAATTTCTTTGGGTTTTCAAGGTTTGGACACTTTTTAAGTGTTCAAGAGTCCTCCTTAAAAGAAAAATATATCAGCTTTCTCTGAGCGGGAATTAGTTGATAGTTCAGAACTCCAAAGGCATGGAACAAACATCTGTGGAAATGTGGGTAGGGTTGTGCTAAGGAAGCATGGAAAGAAGGAAGAGAGTCTGGAAAGTAGAACCATAAATAAACTTTAAAAGATATTTTTATTGATTTCAGAGAGGAAGGGAAAGGGAGAGAGAGATAAAAACATTAATGATGAGAGAGAGACATTGATCAGATGCTTCTTGCATGCGCTACACTGGGGATCAAGTCCACAACCTAGGCATATGCTCTGACCGGGAATTGAACAGTGACCTCCTGATTCACAGGTCGAGGCTCAACTACTGAGCCATGCGCTGGGCTATAAATTAACTTTTAATCCACAATAACCTAAGATGGACACTATTGCTTTCTATTACTTTGTAAAGACTATTTCTATTTCAAGGATTATTTTTTTTCTAAATATATATTTTATTGATTTCAGAGAGGAAGGGAGAGGCTGAGAGAGCTAGAAACATCATTGATGAGAGAGAATCATTGATTGGCTGCCTCCTGCACGCCCCCTACTGAGGATTGAGCCTGTAACCTGGGCATGTGCCCTTGACTGGAATTGAACCCGGGACCCTTCAGTCCCCAGGCTGACGCTCTATCCACTGAGCCAAATCAGCTAGGGCCAAGGATTGTTTTTTAAATGTTATTGTAGACAATATTACAGATGTCCTCCCTACTCCCCCCTCCTTAAGTCCCCTCTACCCAGCCTTAGATCTTGCATATATTTCTGGGATTTTTCATGTTTTTAATCAAACTTTCTGTCCTGGTCTCAGATCAGTCTCCCAGTATTTGTTGGAAGATAAGGTAACCATATTGTTAAAAAATTGAGATAGCCGAGCAACAAAACTCAGAAATTTAAAAAAAGTGTTGATACTCAATTCATCATTTATTATACTAAAAATGGAAAAAATAATATTAAAAAAATTAATCTGTTACTTGATACTTGCATACTATTCTAGCAAAGGGCATCTGAGATGAGAAATTAAGTTTTGTGGCCATAACATTTGCTCAGGAAAGCAAGAAAAGTCACAAATATTATTTAAATTGGAGATTTGTTAAAACACTAAAGATTCTAATTTAAAGATCGATTAATGATTTGTAATGTGATGCATTAAAAAGAACAAAATACTTAAATCTGCAGTAGTGACTGTGGGCCATCTTTTCCCCAGTACGTTAGAAAGTACGGGATGCCTTTTCAGCTGAATAGAAATATCTTTAACTTGGACTTCTTTGCAAAATTTCGGTAAAGAATGTGGCAAAAAAAATGAGAAAGGCTCACGGAGAACCATTTTGAACCTTATACGAGTTCTCTTCTAGGCGCTTTGCGTGGTCTCCATTTTGGACAGAACCACATTCACATGTTTTTTGTGTTCTCTGGTTCCTCCTCGGTTCTTGTACTTGAGCTTTCCGTGCTTGAATTTCTTAGACGAAGGACGCTGGGCCTTCCGGTCCAGGTACTCACTCATCATGGATGTCGTGGCCAACAGTTTGAAGAGTAGTGTGTCTATGTCATTGATGGACTGGCTTTCCGGTTCATTACCAACTGTGTCTATGGAGGCTTGTTTTTTCAGCTAACAGGGGGAAAAGCGAATGAAATTATAGGTTGTTTTCTTGCTGTAGTTCAAATTAAATGTTCTGGATAGCTGTACTGAAACACCACACCTTACTGATTTATATGAAAGAAAGGTCATTACAGAAAACAGGTCTGAGGGCAGAAGAAATGCTCTTTTGTGTATGCCCCTGTGAAAGATGATAATAATCATTATCATCATCAACAAACATTTAAAAAGTGCTTTCTATGGTTAGAGCATTCTGCTGGGAGAAGCTATTTGAATATTAGCAAAATATTTCCCTTTACTAAACAGCTTCAAAGTATAATGCAATAACATCAGGGTCATTTTATAGCAATATGTTTATTGTAAAAGTCAATGAGCTTTTAAGATTGCCTCAAAATATGGAGTCATTGGCAAAGTGGGAAATTAGTTAAAGAGTGCCATTTCCCAGAAAGTTATCCAAACTTTAGACATTAGTTTACAGTCCATTTAAAAAATACATGCCAACTTTTACATACTTAGCCTTCTTAGATAGATCTGGAAGGAATCTAACAGATATCTTATTTCACATCCTTCATTTTATTGGTGAGGCAGCTGAGAAGGATCAAATGACTTACCTCTGGGCCCAGACAGGTAACTTCATTTCCTGTACATTCTACTCATTGTAGCTCATTACTTTCTTGATGCATTTTGTAACTTGAAAGGGAGGGATTGTACTAGGTTATTTTAAGGACCTTCTAATTTAATACTGATTTGTTGAGCACCTACTATATGCCAGACACTGTGCTAGATGCTGGGGGTGAATGGTAGGGACTGCGGGAGATTGCAAAGAGGAAAAAGACGTCGTACTTTCCTTCAAAGCAGCTGGTAATCTTCTCTTTTAAACTCTGATATCCTATGACTACTACTATTTGCATCACTAACTTACCTCTTTCTTGTGTTTCTTCCACTTCATCCACAGGTAATGCACAGATAAAGCAAGCAGGATTAGAGAGATAGCTTGTCCTAAAATACATATGAGATATACAAGACTCGCAATGACATCCATATTAATAAAATTGCACCATAGTTTGTCCATAGGATAAGGTAGACAGTGAGATGGAGAAGGTTCAACTTTTAGATAAAGCATTTCTTCAGGAAATATCTCCCATCCAACCTTAGCCCAGATAGTTCCATCACAAATGCAGGAATTTTCCTTCAATAAGCAGGCACACAACAGAAGAAACATCAGGGGTAGTTCTTGAATGGACATCTTTCTCAATTGGGATAAAAAAAAAAATCTGTGGCCAAAACTCTGGTCAGAGACAGAGTAGGGATGCCCTGAGTACTAGTTAATAAGAACACGGAAGGTAGTCTTTCTACTTGGGAAAATAAACACTGCTGATCATTGTGACATCATCAGTCAGTGATTCATGGACAGAGTCAGTGACATCATAACCACGTTGGAACTAAAAGGTGTTACTTAGCCAGTTACCTGGGGATACTTTTTCTTGCTTTACACTAGAATTATTTAAGTTACTTCAATTTTATGAAAAATGAAGACTTTACTAATGTCTTGCTAGCTAATTAATTAAAACTATAATCATATTAATGGAGTTTCATGGAAACAATTTACCTATATCCCTTCCAACCCTTCTCAAGTATGGCTGTTTTATATCTGCTTAAAAAATATCTGTAGCTATGCCATTTTACACAACCTACAATCGCTTCTGTTTTTCACTCGGAAATATTCTTCCTTTCAAATTAAGCAAAAAAAGTACCTATACCTTTTAACCTATGCCCATTAGGTAGTGGGTGAGGGGTGGGGAATTTGGCATGGCAGAACGCTTAGCTGAATTAGAAGTGAATGTGGACATTTAGCTGAAGGGATTTCGAAGCCAAGTGTTGAAGACAGGACCTGGTTTCTTTCTGTTGCTCCTAGTAAAATGTGAGAGGGGTAAGATACATTGAGGAGAGAACCTGCTATGGAAAGGAAAACAAGACTTGATGTTTTGGGAACTTCTCAGCCTAGAGGGATCGCAAAACTGCTAACACGAGGAGATTCACTGTCAGGAAGGTGTGCTCTGGAGGGAAAGCCAGGGGTGTGGCCACCCTGTGTTTTGCTGGTGCTGAGAGCTCACGCTTACGGTCCCCGCAGCCCTCTCAGCAGAAGTCAGGCCAGAAAGGAGATTGTCCAGGAGGACCCGTGGCGGAGCCTCTAGTCTAATGGAATGACTCTGTGACATGCAGGGAGACTCAGGGATTTTGTGGATGTTATACCAGCAGACACACTGCCAGTTTGGACAAAGGGATGAAGAAAGAACAAAATGGAAAAAGGCTGCCAGGCCCCCCAAAGTCTACACGCCAGAACTGACCGATGAAACTATTTAGCTGCAAAAGCGTGCTACGGGTCATGAAGAGGGAAGGATGGCTCTGCTGGAGCTGCAGGCCGAGGGGGGAGCCTTGCTCTGCAGAGGGTTATTCCCAGGCCTTGACGCATAAGAGTTTGCCACGTGGGATTTTGAAATTACTAGGGACGAGTGACTCCTTTTTTTCTTCTATTTTCTCCCAAAGGGGTCGCGACCCACAGGTTGAGAACCGCTGGTCTAGATGCTTTAGATGATGAGATTTGAGATGTGTGAGCTGATGATATTTTCAATGAACATTAGGACCTTAATTGATGCTGTAATGGGTTGAGACTTTTGGATGCGGGGATGGGGTAAATGTAATTTGCATGTGGAATAGCTGTGACTTTTGGAAGGCCAGAGGGCCCCAAATGCTGTGCTGGTTGAGTTGTTATCTTTCTTGAAATTCAATAAAAACAAACAAACAAAAATCTCCTCCACACAGTCCCTCTCAAGCTCTGGGTATGTAACAGTCCATTACAAACAGTTGAGCACATTTTTTGGTCTTTGTCTTATTTGTGTACATCTTTCTGCCTATTCTTTCAGCTGCAAGGCTGGCTCTGAAAAGATACATCGCAAAGGTCTCTGCCACTCTTACAGAATCAGAAAAGGGACCAGGGAGACTCTTCAAAGAAGACAAGGTACTACATTGTGATCATTGCTTGTTCTGAAGTCTGAGATTTTTGCCTTGTAGCTTTAATTTTATGCTAAAGTTCCAGAGGTAGGTGGCGGTCCTTACTGCTCTCTTCTTCCATTTTCCTTCCCTCCTCCCCTTCTTTCCTTTCTTTCTTAATGACTGATAAGAGATGAACTAATACAAAGTAATGAAAGGCAGTGCCCTCGGCAGTCCCGGATCTGTCTCTTGCTTCAAAAGTGTTTGGACAGAACAGACCCAGGGACGCCCCTTCTCGCAGCCTCCGGCCACCCTCCGGCCACCCTCCTGCGTCTTATCCAGTCACCACCTTCAGCACCACCTCCGGGACCAGCCAACACACCGGCTTCTTTTCTACCTTAACCCCTTATCGCGGAACAACCATGAGCTCCCAGATCTGTCAGAATTATTCCACCGACTGGAGGCTGAGGTCAACCGCCTGGCCCCCCTGCCTCTGCGGGCCGCCCACACCTACCTCTCCCTGGGCTTCTATGTCCATTGATGATGTGGCTCTCCAGGGCGTGGGCCGCTTCTTCCCTGAGATGGCGGAGAAGCTCGAGGGCTCTGAGCGTCTCTTAAAGTTGCAAACACAGCGTTGTGGCCGCACTCTCCCCCAGGACGCGCTGAGGCCTCCCCAGATGAGTGGGCAGAACTCCGGGCGCCGTGAAGACCGCCCTGGCCTCGGGGAGGAGCCTGACCAGGCCCTGTGGACCTGCGTGCCCTGGTTCTACCCGTGCAGGCCCTCAGCTCTGACTTCCTGCAGAGCCACTTCCGGGTGAGGAGGTGAAGCTCATCAAGAAGACGGGCCACACCTGGCTCCCTCCGCAGGCTGCGGCCCCAGGCTGGGCGGGGCCAGTGGCTCTAGGAAAGGCTCACCCTCCAGCACCACTAGGAGCCTGTGGAGCCCGGAGGCCCTTGAGGGGCCCCTCTGCCTCCCCTGGTGTCTGGCTTTTACCTGAGCCTCTCCCCGAAACTACTGGCCATTCTTTTAACCACCCTGAAGCCCTCTCCCATGCATTGGACCAAACGAAATAATAAAGCTTTTTAGAAAAAAAAAAACAGTAATGAAATCATATTAAAGAGTGACATAGAGATGTACTAAGTAAATATCTCACCCAACAACATGAATGAATCTTAGAACTGAGTGAAAAAAAATGTTCCAAAGACTACATAGATTTTTACAAAGCTCCAAAGCAAGCAATATCAAGCTATATTGTTAGGGATGCCAACATATGGGGTAAAACTATTTTAAAAGGAAAGTAAAGGTATAAGCCTCAGTGCTGGTGGATGCGGGGGCGGGGGGGGGGAGTGGATCAGGAGGGGCACAGAAGCAGGGTTAATAGTCCTGGTGGTGTCTGTCTGCATCTTCTATTGTTTGGAGAGGTCCACCGATACTCATTACTTTGCTTCAAACCAGATCTGCATCATGTGTTTTAGTGTATATGAACATATCCACTACATACGTTTATTAATGTGTCACAGTTTACATAATGGTATAAAAGATGCATAGCTATAAAGATAGCGTGCCATATTGGCTGCATACTGAGTGCTGCATGTGGACTAGTGTACTGCTTTGGATGCACACACACACACACACACACACACACACACACACACGATATACTCAGGGTGTCAGGAATGTGTTTTGGTTTTGTTTCCTGCATTTCTCTGCAGGATGTTCTGAGAACTTTCTTGTGACTTTCTGATGAAAAGAATGAGAGATTGCTAAAGCATAGAGGTCTCCAAGTCTGGGAACCTGATTAAGTTACACATTTCACTCGTGGTTTACAAAGCACTTTACAAGATCTCTTATGAAACCAACAAAGCATAGGCAAGATTAAGCTCACAGGCTAGAGTCATGAAGTAGCCACCACTTTTTCAGTTCTCAGTGGCCATGTATGTTACACATGTGGCTGTATTGGGCAATGCAGACACAGATGATCACAGAACGTTCTGGTAGGCAGTGCTGGTATAGAGAGATACAGAGTTTTATTTTTCAATAAATAAGTACATTTTCTGGGACTGTCTCTAGAATATCATCCTCACTGCATGCCGTATAAGAAGTGAGTGGTTGGAAACCCAATTGGAAGCTTCTTCGATCAATGAGATTTTTGAGCAGAAACAACAATTGGAAGATATTGTGACTCCTATCTTCACAAAAATGGCCACACCACGTAAGTTTGGGATAAAAAGTGATTTGAATGTCAGAAATATGGTGACAGAAGGAGACTTGACTGTGGGTCAACAAATGCAACGTATAGATGATGTATTACAGCATTGTACACTCAAAACCTATACAGTTTTATTAACGAGTGTCACCCCAATAAATTTAATAGAAATCTTAAAAACTGTCTTCGTTTGTGTTTTATATTGCAAACTGATTAAACGGACCTTTAAAAATCTGCTTCCTTTCAGGTCAAGTGAGAAGTCCCAAATCTGTAGCCTAAGCCTTGCTCAGAAAAGAAGCCAAAACCATGCCTTCTACTGAACAGACACGTTATAAAAAGCCACATTTTCTTCTAGCATTTGTAAAGTCACACCTATTCATGACAACTGAGGTTGAGAACATAGATGTGGGGTTTTATAAAAATGTTTAAGTGTGAAATGGGACCACCCCTGTTCTGTTTTACCCTCGTCAGCGTGCTCACATCCGGACTCTGACCTTGACTGCTCCCCTGGGTGCAAGCCCCTGTGAGCTCCACCTGCTCCTTCCAGAGAGCGCTTGGGTGTGAGTCACTCACACAAACCATAGGGAAGCTTTAAACGCTGGTTAGAGAATCTGATAACCTTCTGTGTAATGAGGCAGGAAGTTTCCGTTCAGTTAAAGAATTCTTTTAAGAGAAGACATAGTGGCTATTTCCAGAGGCAATTTTTTTCTCCCTCTCTCAAAAGGAAGTTATGGGATGTCTCCCTCTCTCAAAAGGAAGTTCTGGGATGTCATTCTGGAGCAAGGAACTATTAAAAGGAGTTTGGATCAGGACCCTCAGCTCATACAACTATTACTTTTTATGTTCAAATTAAGATTTACCTGTAAGGTGGGATATAGTTTCTTAATACACCTTCTTATTTGTCTTTAGCCCCATTCTGTCTTTGAATTAATAAGCACAAATCTGTTTAGTTTTATATTTAGATGTCTTCTATTCTGTAGGATTGGTAATGCAGCTATTATACCTGGATTCTACGTCAATTTACCTTCTGTTTTGTTTTACATTTTCT